AAGGTGCACTTCTCCGGGTTGAAACGCATGCGGCATGACCTTGCGATCTCGAATACCTTCCAGAGGTGTGCCGCGTGGTCGTCCTCCGTGCTGGATTTGACGATCATGTCATCCATGTATACTTCGAGCATGTCTCCGATTTCTTCGTGGAAGACATGGTTCATCATCCGCTGGTATGTGGCCCCGGCGTTTTTGAGGCCGAAGGGCATCACGTTATAATAGTAATTGCCCGACGCCGTCATGAAGGTCGTGGCTTGTTTATCGTGTTCGGCCATCGGGATCTGATTGTATCCCGAGTACGCATCTATGAAGGACAAGAGCTTGAAGCCCGCGGAGTTGTCGACGAGCTTGTCGATGTTGGGGAGGGGGTAGGCGTCCTTAGAACATGCCCGATTGAGATCAGTATAGTCAACGCACATGCGCCATTTTCCATTATTCTTTTTAATGAGTACAACATTGGACAACCAGGTTGAATACCGGGCTTCCGAAATAAAATTTTCCTCTAAGAGGTCTTTTACAGCTTGTTCGGCCGCTGCTGATTTTTCGGGGGATTGGCGATGCCGGCGTTGTACAACGGCCTTTGCAGTCGGGTTGATGGACAACTGGTGGCAGGCGACCTCGGGGTCGAGTCCTGGCATTTCCGCGGCGCTCCAGGCGAAGAGGTCGGCATTCTCGCGGAGGCAGGCTTGGAGCTGTCGTTTCGCGAGGTCTGGGAGTCTGGCGCCTATCCTCACGGTTCTGTTCGTGTCTTCCTCGAGGGGGACGAGTTCGAATTCTCCGTCCGGGATGGGGCGCGCTGGGTGTGGGGGCTGCCCGTTGACTTCGCTGGTCTTTGTTTCGTGGTCGAGCTCGCCGGTGAAGCGACTGTCGAGCTCAACGGATCCGACCAGCTCCGTTAGTTCGCCCTTTGGCGTTGAGCTTGACGTTTTCTTCTTGGTCGCTGGAGCGATGGAGTCTAGGCCTTTCAGCACGACTTCGAAACATCTTCGGGCGGCCTCGATGTCTCCGTTGAGGGTCACCACGGCCCCCCTTCTTGTGTAGTATTTTATCTTCAGGTGGACGGTGGAGGGTACCGCGGTGAGTTCTGCTATCGTCGTCCTGCCCAGGATGCAGTTATAGAGGGATGGGCACTCGATGACTAAGAAACAGATGCTGATGTCCCTAGCCGTTTCCTCTTCTCCGAAGGTTACTTTCAATTCCACGTATCCCCAAGGTCTCGTCATCGTCCCGTTGAACCCTTGAAGGTCGGAGCCTACGTAGGGGGAGAGGTTGGATTCGTCGAGCTGGAGAGTTATGAACAGGTGTGAGTACATGATGTCAACTGAGCTCCCGCCGTCGACGAGGAGGCGCCTGACGTCAAAGTTCGCCATCCAGGCGCGTATGAGCAAGGGTATGTTGGAATTGGGAGATCCCCCGGGGAGTTCCTCGAGGTAAAATGTGATCGGGTTGGAGCGGCCTCGGAATTTGTCGAGCGTGCTCATTTTTCCGGAGTTGTTCGCGATGAGTTTGTCAAATTTTCTTTTCACGGATCCGATGGACAGACTCCTCGTGGCTCCATCAGAGATGACCATGGCTCTGGGGAAGTATTCCCACCGGCTGGTTGGTCGGATTGGCTCGTCGATTAGGTCGGACCCTTCGGGGAGACCGAATTCTCTACCCGCGAACCAATCTTCGGGGCGGCTGACACACAACGCGACCTGAAGCTTGCTGTTGTCCTCTGGAGAGGGAAGTTCCTCGACTTTCTTGGCTTCTGGAGCCTCTTTCCTAGGTGGTTCGCCTCCTCGGGTATATCTCTTCAGGTGACCGTCTTTGATCAGAATTTCGATCGCATCCTTGAGATGGATGCAGTCTTCTGTCACGTGCCCGTGGCTCCTGTGGAATCGGAAGTATTTCGATTTGTCCACGTTGGGTTAGGGGGGTGTTGGTCGCGGAAAACGGACACCTCCCTGCACGAACTCGGTTTTAGCGCATTCGGCCAGTATGCGCTCGCGTGAAGCGACCAAGGCTGTGTACTCTGTGAATCTGCCGGTCGGGCCGCGTGGTTCACGTTGTTCGCGGGGTTCGCGGGGGCGCTCTTCTCGACGGCGGTCTCCTCCTCGGCGATGGCTCGAGGCTCCATCGTCTCGGTGCCCGCGGGGGCCTCCCTGTCTCGGGTGTCGCGAGCGGAGTTGGCCGCCTGTGTTTCCTCGAATCGGATGTAATGCGCGGCTCTGTCGAGGAAATCTTGGAGGGATGTTGGACGGTGTATGCCTACGGCCTCGTAGAACTTGGATTCGTGGCGCAGACCTTGTTCCATTAAGTAGCGTTTCATCTCGTCCGACGTCGTCACCTGCACTGCTTCCCGAGTGAACCTTTCGATGTACTTTCGGAGAGGTTCGTCGGGGCCCTGGATGATCGCCCCGAGGACTGCTTCTGTCTTCGGGTGGCGTCGGGACGCCGTAAAGTGTTTGGAGAACAGGTCCTTCAAGACCCTCCATGACGTAACTGATTCGGGCTCCAGACTTTTATACCAGGTCATAGCGCCTTTCCTCAGAGTCGTCGGGAAGAGTCTGCACTTTATAGCTCCCCAGACGTTTCGGTAGTCGAGCATGGCCTCGATGTCCTCCAGGTGATCGTCCGAGTCGGAGGTGCCGTCGTATGTCGACAGCGTCGGTGGTTTCTCCATCCCTTGGGGTATGGGGGCAGCCATGATTTCCCGGGACAGCGGGGTACGACAATCGTCTTCGTCGCTGTGCGCCGGGGATCGATGGGGAGATGAGTCGTTCAAGGTAGGCCTCTGGTTTCGGGTTCTCAACCTCCTGCCTGAGTTCTCGCCTCGGGGGTCTTCGGTCGGGATCGCCGCGGCGCTTTGGTTCCTCACGCGAACGTGTCTTGCTGGGGATCTGGTGCGTTCTCGTGTCACCTGTGTGCGGTGCCTCTCCAGCCGCGGCCGGCGGTTTCTGGGTCGAGGTGAGGGGCTCCTCGAACCTCCGTTCTGGTCTTCCCGCGGGGGGTACCTCGGAGGACCGAGGCGTTCTAATGCTCCAATTCTCGCATTTTGTTGGAACAACAGCTGGTTCGTCTGGTTGATGGCCGTGAAGAGAGCGGCCACCATTGGGTCCGCTCCCGCCGAGATGGGAACGGGATGGAATGCTGGCGGGCTCGGGGGCCGGTGGTCGACCTGAAGGGGCCGCTCCGCGGATGACAGCGAAGCAGTTTGGCCGTCCCTTTCGTCGGTTTCCGTCGGACGCGTCGTTCCTGTCTGCTTGTTCCCGTTGGTGGCGACGTTGAGCACGCGGTCATGCGGAGTGCCGTCGCGGTGTGGACTAGCCATGATCGTGGAGGTTTGGTGAAACTTTTGGTTTTCTGCTCGAAGTAACGGGGAAGTTTCAGTTTCCCACAGACGGCGCCACTGATCTGACCTGATCAGGAGGGGATCACGGTCTGGCCACACGCTGTTGGGCTGCTACCTGTTCACCGGTGATGAGGAGGAGAAGGGGGGTGTACCTGCAAGACACTCCGATGCCAAAGTAAGAAATTGGGCAGAGCGGGAGCAAAGTACAGAAAGTGGTAGAAGAATGGAATTACCTGACCCTCTTGAGGAAGAGGGTATTTATAGAGAGACCCCAACGCTGGGCCAACGGTCATTTGAGGTGGGCTGGATGACCAGGCCCAACCCTAATGACTGCTAGGGCTTACGTGGCGTAGTGAAGACCAGGACGTGGTCTTCGCCCTAGTCCAACTGTTCCTTGATTTCCGGAAAGTGGGTTTGACCTGCTCTTTCGGAGGTGGGCAGTTGGTTGATGACGTGTCCCCGCGGAGGGGAGCACGTGGAGAACGTGCACCGGGCACGTTATTCTTCTCGTGGAGGGGAGCTCGGGAGGTACCCCGGAGCGCGTTGTTCTCCTCGCGGAGGGGAGGAACCAAGGTCGTGCCTTGGTGCGCCAGGGTCGGTTTTGTTCGGCTGGTAAGAGGAGACGACGAGATGTTGTTGGATGCGCTGCTCGTGTCCGGCGGCATGCTCTGCTCGTCTTGCGGGACGCACGTGCCCGACGTGCCCTATTCGCCTGTTGGGCCGTACGTGGTATTGGGCCTGCCGAGGTCGGGCCCATATCGGAACAATTATTATTATTATTATTATTATTATTATTAATAGGATTTGAGGGACAACAACAATGTTTTCTATTATGTTTTTATATACATCGTCTCTATTTTAACTTAAACGCTAATCCTATATTCTTTTTCAACATTGAAAAAATGTTTTTGCGTGTGAATAGTTTGGTCTATTCAACTAATTTTCAGGAAATATTCTTGCAACATTAAAGTTTATGCACTTACTTCTTTTCTTTTTATTCTACGCACAAAATACTCTCATTTACACTCAACCCTATTTCTTCATGGTTCAATTTTTCAACAGGTTCCTATTTTCACTATTATTCATCTTTTTTTATAAGTTTTAGTTGTCAAACCAAACAAAATATAATCATCGTTGGTTACTATTTTTGTCTTGTTAAAATTGGAAACAAAATAAAGTTATTAGGAAAGATATGTTTGAAGATATTTATTTGTCTTGTATTACTCTTTTTCAATGATTTAGTACCAGGTTCTTATTTTCACTAAAGAAACCTCTGTCAAGTTTTCTTTTATGATGTATATTGTGATCTTACTTTTTTGGTGATATTAATAATTATTTCATACAAATTTAACTGACTTGTGTCAACAATTTCTTTTAATAGTTTTTGTATATATAAGTTAAACACTAAACCCTTACTTTTTATTCACCACACAAACCACTGAATCCTATTTCTTCTTCAACACATGTTTTTATTTTCACTATTTTTCATCTTTCTTTACAACTTTTAGTTGTCAAACCAAAATTCAACAAGTTACAATTCTTTTCTTATTAAATTTGGAAATAAAATAAAGTTATTAGGCAAGAAATTCTACACAATAACACTTTTTTTCATCTTTTCATGCCGAACTCATTTCTAAAATGGCGATATCTTTCAAAGCTAGAACAAATGGTTGCAAAAAATCGCACTCCTTCTAACAAGAAGGATGATAAGGAGTTAAAGAAGAAGTTGATTGACGGGAACAAAGATGTGGATCCTCAGCTATGGCATGCTGTTGATGGAGGAATGGTGCAAATTCCACAAGTTAACTCTAAAATCTTCTACTTTCCTCAAGGTCATGCCAAGCATGCCTATCAATCTGTCACTTTTCCTGCCGACTTCATAATTCCATCACAAATTCCATGTGGATTTGCAGCTATCTATTACAGGGTTGATCCTGACACAGATGAAGTGTATGCAAAACTCAGGCTTGTTCCTCTGCAGATTAGTGAGGCTAGTTTTGATGATGACGATGTTGCTGGCATTGATAACATGTCTGAAACAAATAATAGACATCGGTCTTACACGAAAACCTTGACACAATCTGATGCAAACAATGGTGGTGGATTCTCTTGTCCTATGTATTGTGCCGAATCGCTTTTTCCTCCATTAGACTATTCAGTTATGCTTCCTTCTCAAGTAAGAAACTGAGATCGAAGCAACACCCAAGTTTCTCCATGGATGGCCAATTATCAATGCCAACTTTTTCGAATGTTCCAGTTACTAGTACTGCAGGCATGCAGGTAGTCAGGTGTGATGATTTTAGTTTCCCCAAATCATCGTTTCACCTCGAACAAATTCCATTAGAAGTCTTTATGTGTCATTTCCAACCATCATTTGATCACGATGCCTCAACATCCACTAATGTCTCTAATAGCCCGATATTACAAAAGGAGAGCAGCAGTGAGAATGTTTCAGGCTCGATATTAGAGAAACTGGATCATGCGAAGCCGAAAGCGTTGGTGCTTTTTGGCCAAACAATGGTTCATGCGAAGCCAAAAGTATTGGTGCTTTTTGGCCAAAAAATACAAATTGAGTCGAGAAATGAAAATGCTGAGGAGAAAATAACAAATTATTCTTCTGATTCTCCTCTACAAGACTCTTCTAGTGAGAGGCTGGAGTGTGATCTAAGGAACCAAATAAAAAAAGATACTTTGGCAGGAGAAACAATGGAGATCGAAGATTCAGGTAAGGATCAGAAATGAATAAAATTTAGTATCTTTTATATATTGCAAAAACTGATTCATCTCTTAGAAATAGATATATATGAATAATATTTTTGATGTTGTTTCAGTGAGTTCCTCAAAAGAGGCAGCGTGACAGTAGTATCAGCGATGGAAGGAAGAATTACTATAGCCATAATTTTCTATAAACATGATTTAGTTCAATTATAAGAAGTTGTCTATGTATTCTAACACTTCCACAATTTAGTTCAATTTGGATTCATCTTGTATAAAGTTTTTATGTTAAGTTGATTTGTGTTGAATCATACATCTATTTCTTCTCATCTAAAACATCTTCAACCCATATAATTTTTGGACAATTGCAGTAAGGACTAAATTGAACTTACACCTTAAACACTACCTTATCATCGAGTTTAAATATTTTACATTATTTACGAGCTAAAGGGGTAACCTAGGGGCAAAGCAATGTAGTATGTGTTTTTTGTGAACATGCTGCTGAGTCAGATTGCCACATGCTTCTGGAGTGTAATGAAATAATGAACATATGGGATCAAATATATAATTCGTTGAACATTGACCACATAACTAACAAAGATGTTATAGATCATTTTAACCAGTTTTGTGAAAAGTTCAAAGGGGTAAAATGTAGGAAGATGAGAAATGATAAGTTTGACGTAGTAAGTATCACCAAGAACATCGAAATTATGTTTTGGAACTGGTTCAGACATAAAGTGGAAAGGTTAATCCTAGGGCATGCATTGACATACGAAACCGAGCTGTGATGGAAACAAATATAGAAGGCTAAATCTATTGTCCAACCTAGCCGGGCTTTCGGAGTGAATTCATGGTGAACTGCACTATATAATGGAAAAGTTGTGGTTGTTGGAAAAATGTGATGAAGAATAATAATGCAAAGAATGAATTCTGTGAAAAAAGATTATCCCATTGTCAATAGTTTTGTCTCATATTATTTTTTTATTCAATAACATAATCAAAAAATTTATTAAAAACAAATCTAATATCACTATACAAATCTCAAGTGTGTTCAAGTATGATACTTGTCAAAATTTTCATGCAGAGAAAGGCTCAAATGTCACAAAGTACAATATATGTCATTCTTGCATCAATTATCATGCCACTGTGCATTCTGACAAGCAAGAAAATGGCATCTCAATTGTGGCACATTAGTGAAGAAAGAAATGGTGAAAGAATTTCCTAACTTAGCGGACATAGAAGAAACACAGCGATCCTATTACAGAACAATCAGATTGGAGAGTTAGTGTCGAACTAGAACTTGTACATTCAGATGTTTGTGGGAAAATCAAACCTGAATCAATCGGAGGAAACATGTATTTCACCCCCTTTACATTTTGAAAGAAAAGTCTAGTGTCTTTCATGTTTTCAATTGATTATTTTGATGCTCAAAATTGTTCTAATTTGTTTAATTTACTTCTGAATCTGTCTAATGCATTTCTGTTACTTTTAATTTGTTCTTTTTCTTGTGTTATTATTAGTGAATTTGTGTCTAATTTGCAATGTGGTTTGCTCTGAAGCTAGGAACAATGTGTTTCCTAAATTTATTTAACTGACTCTAATTATGGTTACAACTAGAACTGCAATGTGCAAATCACCTTTCTCACAAAAAAGTAACTTTCATTATTTTGTTGTTATAACCGTTTCGATGCAGTTAGTTTTAACTCACCCTATTCTTTTACTCTTCTAATTGTTTCAAAGTACAGAAGCTCTCACTGTTGGTGCAAAGGTAGAATAAATGATGAAAAAGGAGAAATATTCTATTAAGAATTGACGGCTACAAAACATGATTATGTTACAATGATTGTCACCCTATTTATAAGCTAAAACTAGGGTTACTAAAATAAGATAAAATACTAAAATACCCTCTAACAAACTTAGGGGCTAAGAAAATAGTACAACTAAATAAATATGAATTACTATTAATATTCTAATACCATCCCTTAATTCATATTCCATCAAAACTTGTAACACCAATTCCATCCCTTAGTCTAAGAAATTGATCAGTCTTGACAGCTTTCGTCAGAACATCTGCTAACTGCTTCTGAGTGCTGCAGTGTACAACTTCTAACACTCCACTCTGAACTTGATGTCTCAGAAAATGATACTTGGTCTCAATATGCTTGCTTCTCCCATGCAACACTGGGTTTCTGGCAAGATTGATTGCAGACTTGTTGTCAATCATCAACTTCAGAGGTTTGTCTACTTTAATCTTCAGATCCTGCAACAGATTCAGAATCCACACAGCTTGGCATGCAGTAACAGCACCTGCAATGTATTCAGCTTCACAGGTTGACAACGCCACAACAGGTTGCTTCTTGGAACACCAAGAAATGGAACCTCCCAGAAATTTGAACAAGTACCCAGATGTACTTCTTCTGTCAACTCTGTCTCCACACCAATCAGAGTCTGAATAACTCAGAAGTTCTGACTCATTATTTCCTCCAGAGGGAAATAACACTCCATACTTCAGAGTTCCTTTGATATACCTCAGAATCCTGACAGCAGCTTGATAATGGGACCACTTAGGTTTACTCATGAACCTACTAACCATCCCAACAGAGTAGCAAATATCAGGTCTGGTATTGCACAGATACCTCAGAGAACCAACCAACTGTTTGAAGGTTGTAGCGTCCACATCCTTTCCTTCAGAGTCTGAATCCAGTTTCTGATTTGTATCAGAAGGTGTGACAGCCATCTTACAATTCTTCAGATCAAATCTCTTCAGAAGTTCTAATTCATACTTGAGCTGATGCAAAATGATACCTTTCTCAGAATATCTAAACTCCATCCCTAGAAAGTATGTCATTTTTCCTAGATCAGTCATTTCAAATTCATTCATTAGAACCTTCTTGAACTTGGCTATCTCCTGTTCAGAACTTCCAGTCAGCAGTATATCATCAACATATAAACATACCAGAGTCATATTGCCTTCAGAAGTATGCTGAACATAGACACTGTACTCCATCTCACATTTCTGAAAGCCTTGCTTCTTGAAAAATGAATCAATCTTCTGATTCCAAGCTCTGGGCGCTTGTTTCAATCCATATAGAGCTTTGTATAATCTGTACACCATCCCTTCCAGATTCTTTTTCACAAATCCAGGAGGTTGTGACACGTAAACTTCTTCTTCTAATGGACCGTTCAGAAATGCAGATTTTACATCTAAATGCATCAGAGGCCAATTCCTGTTAGCAGCTATTGCAATTACCATTCTGATTGTTTCATGTCTTGCTACAGGTGCAAATACTTCAGAGTAATCCAGCCCAGGTTTTTGTAGAAATCCTCTGGCTACCAACCTTGCTTTATGTTTGCCAATTGAACTATCTGGCTTTAACTTCTGCTTGAAAACCCATCTGACGCTGATGGCTTTCTTGTCTTTTGGAAGTTCTGTCAGCTTCCAAGTCTTGTTTCTCTCTATAGCATCAAGTTCTTCTTTCATGGCCTTCAACCAAAGATTCTGCTTAAGAGCCTCTTCTGTACTTATGGGTTCAGAGTCTACTAACATGGCACACTGAATAACTTCTCCTTCAGAGTCTACTTCAGTGTCTTGCAGCATGTCAAATTCTGCATATCTTCTGGGAACGTTTCTTATTCTTTGTGGTCTCTGAACTTGTTCAGAGTCTTGAGCTTCAGAGTTTCTAGCTTCAGATGATTGACCTCCAGAGCTTTGACCATCTTCAGAGTCTGGCATATTTCCAGAGTCTGAATTGCCACCAAGATCTGGATTGCCATCAGAGTCTAAATCATCAGAGTCTGGGTCATCTGGGTCACCTTCATCTTCTGAGTCTTCTTCAGAGTTTGAATCAGTATCAGAGTCAGAGTCAATATCAGGGTTTACTTCAACTTCAGAAATTCTTAAATCTGGCCTTTCTTCAGAGGTTCTAACATCAGAATCAGATTGAGACTTATCCCAATTCCAAACTTCTGATTCCTTCACAATCACATCTCTGCTGAATTCAATTTTATTGGTTTCTGGACAATAGAGCTTGTAAGCACCAGTACTGTGGTACCCTATCAGAATCATCACTTTGCTTCTATCATCCAGCTTCTGTCTTCTGGCTTCTGGAACATGTTTATAGCAAACAGAACCAAACACCTTCAGATGACTAACACTTTGCTTATCTCCAGTCCACTTCTGTATTGGAACTATTTCCTTCAACTTCTTCGTAGGACATCTGTTGAGTACATACGTTGCAGTGGCAACAACTTCTCCCCAGAGCTTCTGAGGAAGCTTCTTCTCCTTTAGCATGCTTCTCACCATATCAAGCAAAGTACGATTTCTTATTTCAGTAAGACCATTGTGTTGAGGGGTATAAGGAGCAGTGACCTCATTCTCAATTCCATTCTCCTCACAGAACTTCTGGAACTCTTTGGAGTTATACTCACCTCCACCATCAGTTCTAAGAATCTTCAACTTCTGACCACTTTGATTCTCAGCCTTCATTCTGAACTTCTTGAATTCATCAAACACCTCATGTTTAAATTTAATAAGGGATACCCATGTCATTCTTGTGAATTCATCAACAAACAACACAAAGTACTTATTCCCTCCGATTGATGCTACTGGAAATGGACCACACACATCAGAATGTACAACTCCCAAGGCATGTTTTGCTCTTGGAGCAACTTCTGACGCAAATGGCAAACGTGGTTGTTTTCCTTCCATGCAAACTTTGCATGACTTTTCAGGCTTCTTAATTGCAGGAATTCCATGTACCAACTTCTTTGAATTCAGATGTTTTAAGCTTTTGAAATTCAAGTGACCAAATCTTCTGTGCCACAGCTCACTCTCCTTCTCAATACTTGTTGCACTAAGACACTCTGAGTATGCAGTTTTGACATTCACCTTAAATGTTCTATTCCTTCCCTGTTCTGACTCCATAATCAACTTCTGATTACAGTCATACAGCTTCAGAAGATTGTCCTTCATGGTAACTGAGAAACCTTTCTCAATTAATTGTCCCACACTCATCAGATTGCTTCTGACGCCAGGTACATACCACACATTCTGAATCAATGCTATTTTCCCATTGTTCAGAGTCACTCTGACATTTCCCATACCTTCTGCATTAAGATATTTGTCATCAGCACATCTGATCTTTGTTCTCTTTTCAGAGTCAAAGTCAACCAGCCATTTCTTGTTTCCAGTAAGATGATTTGAACAGCCAGTGTCCATATACCACCAGTCTGTCAGATCATCAGATTCAGAGGCCATCAATAGCACAGATTCGTCATCAGAACTTCTAGCTATATTTGCTTCTTCTGATTTCTTCTCCTTGTTTGACCAACAATCTCTAGCAAAGTGACCAAACTTCTTACAACAGTAACATTGGATCTTCTTCTTGTCATACTTCTCTTTTCCCTTCTGAGCATTCTTTTGTCTATCAGAGGTTGAGGTTTCTGACTTCTGACCACCATCAGATCTTCTCTTGGCTTCTGACTGCTTCTGATACCTCCTATCAGAAGTTGCTTTTAGAGCCTGCTGCTCTACTTCCCTTTCAGAAGTTCTCTCAGTCAAACGCAACTCTTGCGCTTCTAAACTGCTCTGCAGCTCTTCAATTCTCATGGTACTCAGATCTTTGGAATGTTCTATTGCTACCACAATGTAATCAAATTGAGGAGTAAGGGATCTCAACACTTTCTCCATGATTGTTTCTTCAGAAAGAGTTTCTCCACATGCCTTCATCTCATTAGTTATCAGAATCACTCTGGAGATGTATTCAGAAACTTTCTCATTATTCTTCATGTTGAGATTCTCATATTGCTTTCTCAAGGACTGAAGCTTCACCTTCTTCACTGATGCGTCACCACCATAACATCTAACCAGTGTGTCCCACGCAGCCTTTGCTGTCGTTGAATCTGCAATCTTCTCAAACACATTTACATCAACACATTGATGAATAAAGAATAATGCTTTCTGATCCTTCTTCCTTATTTCCTTCTGCGCGTTTTTCTGTTCATCCGTTGCATCTGCTACTACCGGAACATAAACATCAGTGACAAGATCTAAAACATCTTGAGCACCAAACAGTACACGCATTTGGATCATCCAACGATTCCAGTTTTTACCGTCAAATACAGGAAGCTTGGTGTTCATGTTGTCGTTTCCGTTCATCTTCACCTTGCACAATACACTCAGATTTCTCACACAGTGTTTCCCAACCCACAGAATAAAATTCTGATCAGATTTTGTTCAAGATTCAACACGAATCTAAGAATCAAAATCAAACACACAAGACCTCACGTTCACTCGTGTTTCCCGTGTTTCCCAATGAATCTGAACCGGAGCTCTAGATACCAATTGTTGGTGCAAAGGTAGAATAAATGATGAAAAAGGAGAAATATTCTATTAAGAATTGACGGCTACAAAACATGATTATGTTACAATGATTGTCACCCTATTTATAAGCTAAAACTAGGGTTACTAAAATAAGATAAAATACTAAAATACCCTCTAACAAACTTAGGGGCTAAGAAAATAGTACAACTAAATAAATATGAATTACTATTAATGTTCTAATACTCACTAGCTCAGAAACAATTTTACATGAAGCTCTAATTCAATTGAAAGCTTCAGAGGCTTAACTCCTCTTTAGATCTCCCTCTTAGAGATTGCACATATTCTTTCAATTATATTTCTCTTTTATTCTTTGATATATGTTAATGAACTGTACAATGGGAGTATTGATTCAACAAAAAAATATACTATGTGGTATTTCTATATAATAACTCTTTCCATAATTTCTGTCTAATTGATTGAAAAAAACTAGTGCAATTTGTATTATTATTATTATTATTATTATTATTATTATTATTATTATTATTATTATTATTATTATTATTATTATTATTATTATTATTATTATTATTATTATTATTATTATTAATAGGATTTGAGGAACAACAACAATGTTTTCTATTATGTTTTTATATACATCGTCTCTATTTTAACGTAAACACTAATCCTATATTCTTTTTCAACTTTGAAAAAATGTTTTTGCGTGTGAATAGTTTGGTCTATTCCACTAATTTTCAGGAAATATTCTTGCAACATTAAAGTTTATGCGCTTACTTGTTTTCTTTTTATTCTACGCACAAAATACTCTCATTTACACTCAACCCTATTTCTTCATGGTTCAATTTTTTAACAGGTTCCTATTTTCACTATTTTTCATCTTTTTTTATAAGTTTTAGTTGTCAAACCAAACAAAATATAATCATCGCTGGTTACTATTTTTGTCTTGTTAAAATTGGAAACAAAATAAAGTTATTAGGAAAGATATGTTTGAAGATATTTATTTGTCTTGTGTTACTCTTTTTCAATGATTTAGTACCAGGTTCTGATTTTCACTACAGAAACCTCTGTCAAGTTTTCTTTTATGATAAATATTGTGCTCTTACTTTTTAGGTGATATTAATAATTATTTCATACAAATTTAACTGACTTGTGTCAACAATTTCTTTTAATAGTTTTTGTATATATAAGTTAAACACTAAACCCTTACTTTTTATTCACCACACAAAACACTGAATCCTATTTCTTCTTCAACACATGTTTTTATTTTCACTATTTTTCATCTTTCTTTACAACTTTTAGTTGTCAAACCAAAATTCAACAGGTTACAATTCTTTTCTTATTAAAGTTGGAAATAAAATAAAGTTATTAGGCAAGAAATTTTACACAATAACACTTTTTTTCATCTTTTCATGCCGAACTCATTTCTAAAATGGCGATATCTTTCAAAGCTAGAACAAATGGTTGCAAAAAATCGCACTCCTTCTAACAAGAAGGATGATAAGGAGTTAAAGAAGAAGTTGATTGACGGGAACAAAGATGTGGATCCTCAGCTATGGCATGCTGTTGATGGAGGAATGGTGCAAATTCCACAAGATAACTCTAAAATCTTCTACTTTCCTCAAGGTCATGCCAAGCATGACTATCAATCTGTCACTTTTCCTGCCGACTTCATAATTCCATCACAAATTCCATGTAGATTTGCAGCTATCTATTACAGGGTTGATCCTGACACAGATGAAGTGTATGCAAAACTCAGGCTTGTTCCTCTGCAGATTAGTGAGGCTAGTTTTGATGATGACGATGTCGCTGGCATTGATAACATGTCTGAAACAAATAATAGACATCGGTCTTACACGAAAACCTTGACATAATCTGATGCAAACAATGGTGGTGGATTCTCTTGTCCTATGTATTGTGCCGAATCGCTTTTTCCTCCATTAGACTATTCAGTTATGCTTCATTTTCAAGTAAGAAACTGAGATCGAAGCAACACCCAAGTTTCTCCATGGATGGCCAATTATCAATGCCAACTTTTTCGAATGTTCTAGTTACTAGTACTGCAGGCACGCAGGTAGTCAGGCGTGATGGTTTTAGTTTCCCCAAATCATCGTTTCACCTCGAACAAATTCCATTAGAAGTCTTTATGTGTCATTTCCAACCATCATTTAATCACGATGCCTCAACATCCACTAATGTCTCTAATAGCCCGATATTACAAAAGGAGAGCAGCAGTGAGAATGTTTCAGGCTCGATATTAGAGAAACTGGATCATGCGAAGCCGAAAGCGTTGGTGCTTTTTGGCCAAACAATGGTTCATGCGAAGCCAAAAGTATTGGTGCTTTTTGGCCAAAAAATACAAATTGAGTCGAGAAATGAAAATGCTGAGGAGAAAATAACTAATTATTCTTCTGATTCTCCTCTACAAGACTCCTCTAGTGAGAGGCTGGAGTGTGATCTAAGGAACCAAATAAAAAAAGATACTTTGGCAGGAGAAACAATGGAGATCGAAGATTCAGGTAAGGATCATAAATGAATAAAATTTAGTATCTTTTATGTATTGCAAAAACTGATTCATCTCTTAGAAATAGATATATATGAATAATACTTTTGATGTTGTTTCAGTGAGTTCCTCAAAAGAGGCAGCGTGACAGTAGTATCAGCGATGGAAGGAAGAATTACTATAGCCATAATTTTCTATAAACATGATTTAGTTCAATTATAAGAAGTTGTCTATGTATTCTAACACTTCCACAATTTAGTTCAATTTGGATTCATCTTGTATAAAGTTTTTATGTTAAGTTGATTTGTGTTGAATCATACATCTATTTCTTCTCATCTAAAACATCTTCAACCCATATAATTTTTGGACAATTGCAGTAAGGACTAAATTGAACTTACACCTTAAACACTACCTTATCATCGAGTTTAAATATTTTACATTATTTACGAGCTAAAGGGGTAACCTAGGGGCAAAGCAATGTAGTATGTGTTTTTTGTGAACATGCTGCTGAGTCAGATTGCCACATGCTTCTGGAGTGTAATAAAATAATGAACATATGGGATCAAATATATAATTCGTTGAACATTGACCACATAACTAACAAAGATGTTATAGATCATTTTAACCAGTTTTGTGAAAAGTTCAAAGGGGTAAAATGTAGGAAGATGAGAAATGATAAGTTTGACGCAGTAAGTATCACCAAGAACATCGAAATTATGTTTTGGAACTGGTTCAGACATAAAGTGGAAAGGTTCATCCTATGGCATGCATTGACATACGAAACCGAGCTGTGATGGAAACAAATATAGAAGGCTAAATCTATTGTCCAACCTAGCCGAGCTTTCGGAGTGAATTCATGGTGAACTGCACTATATAATGGAAAAGTTGCGGTTGTTGGAAAAATGTGATGAAGAATAATAATGCAAAGAATGAATTCTGTGAAAAAAGATTATCCCATTGTCAATAGTTTTGTCTCATATTATTTTTTTATTCAATAACATAATCAAAAAATTTATTAAAAACAAATCTAATTTCACTATACAAATCTCAAGTGTGTTCAAGTATGATACTTGTCAAAATTTTCATGCAGAGAAAGGCTCAAATGTCACAAAATACAATATATGTCATTCTTGCATCAATTATCATGCCACTGTGCATTCTGACAAGCAAGAAAATGGCATCTCAATTGTGGCACATTAGTGAAGAAAGAAATGGTGAAAGAATTTCCTAACTTAGCGGACATAGAAGAAACACAGCGATCCTATTACAGAACAATCAGATTGGAGAGTTAGTGTCGAACTAGAACTTGTACATTCAGATGTTTGTGGGCAAATCAAACCTGAATCAATCGGAGGAAACATGTATTTCACCCCCTTTACATTTTGAAAGAAAAGTCTAGTGTCTTTCATGTTTTCAATTGATTATTTTGATGCTCAAAATTGTTCTAATTTGTTTAATTTACTTCTGAATCTGTCTAACGCATTTTTGTTACTTTTAATTTGTTCTTTTTCTTGTGTTATTATTAGTGAATTTGTGTCTAATTTGCAATGTGGTTTGCTCTGAAGCTAGGAACAATGTGTTTCCTAAATTTATTTAACTGACTCTAATTATGGTTACAACTAGAACTGCAATGTGCAAATCACCTTTCTCACACAAAAGTAACTTTCATTATTTTGTTATTATAACCGTTTCGATGCAGTTAGTTTTAACTCACCCTATTCTTTTACTCTTCTAATTGTTTCAAAGTACAGAAGCTCTCACTAGCTCAGAAACAATTTTACATGAAGCTCTAATTCAATTGAAAGCTTCAGAGGCTTAACTCCTCTTTAGATCTCCCTCTTAGAGATTGCACATATTCTTTCAATTATATTTCTCTTTTATTCTTTGATATATGTTAATGAACTGTACAATGGGAGTATTGATTCAACAAAAAAATATACTATGTGGTATTTCTATATAATAACTCTTTCTATAATTTCTGTCTAATTGATTGAAAAAAACTAGTGCAATTTTTATTATTATTATTATTATTATTATTATTATTATTATTATTATTATTATTATTATTATTATTATTATTATTATTATCATTATTAATATTATTACTATTATTACTATTACTATTATTACTATTATTATTATTATTATTATTATTATTATTATTATTATTATTATTATTATTATTATTATTATTATTATTATTATTATTAATAGGATTTGAGGAACAACAATAATGTTTTCTATTATGTTTTTATATACATCGTCTCTATTTTAACGTAAACACTAATCCTATATTCTTTTTCAACTTTGAAAAATGTTTTTGCGTGTGAATAGTTTGGTCTATTCCACTAATTTTCAGGAAATATTCTTGCAACATTAAAGTTTATGCGCTTACTTGTTTTCTTTTTATTCTACGCACAAAATACTCTCATTTACACTCAACCCTATTTCTTCATGGTTCAATTTTTCAACAGGTTCCTATTTTCACTATTTTTCATCTTTTTTTATAAGTTTTAGTTGTCAAACCAAACAAAATATAATCATCGCTGGTTACTATTTTTGTCTTGTTAAAATTGGAAACAAAATAAAGTTATTAGGAAAGATATGTTTGAAGATATTTATTTGTCTTGTGTTACTCTTTTTCAATGATTTAGTACCAGGTTCTGATTTTCACTACAGAAACCTCTGTCAAGTTTTCTTTTATGATATATATTGTGCTCTTAATTTTTAGGTGATATTAATAATTATTTCATACAAATTTAACTGACTTGTGTCAACAATTTCTTTTAATAGTTTTTGTAGATATAAGTTAAACACTAAACCCTTACTTTTTATTCACCACACAAAACACTGAATCTTATTTCTTCTTCAACACATGTTTTTATTTTCACTATTTTTCATCTTTCTTTACAACTTTTAGTTGTCAAACCAAAATTCAACAGGTTACAATTCTTTTCTTATTAAAGTTGGAAATAAAATAAAGTTATTAGGCAAGAAATTTTACACAATAACACTTTTTTCATCTTTTCATGCCGAACTCATTTCTAAAATGGCGATATCTTTCAAAGCTAGAACAAATGGTTGCAAAAAATCGCACTCCTTCTAACAAGAAGGATGATAAGGAGTTAAAGAAGAAGTTGATTGACGGGAACAAAGCTGTGGATCCTCAGCTATGGCATGTTGTTGATGGAGGAATGGTGCAAATTCCACAAGATAACTCTAAAATCTTCTACTTTCCTCAAGGTCATGCCAAGCATGCCTATCAATCTGTCACTTTTCCTGCCGACTTCATAATTCCATCACAAATTCCATGTAGATTTGCAGCTATCTATTACAGGGTTGATCCTGACACAGATGAAGTGTATGCAAAACTCAGGCTTGTTCCTCTGCAGATTAGTGAGGCTAGTTTTGATGATGACGATGCCGCTGGGATTGATAACATGTCTGAAACAAATAATAGACATCGGTTTTACACGAAAACCTTGACACAATCTGATGCAAACAATGGTGGTGGATTCTCTTGTCCTATGTATTGTGCCGAATCGCTTTTTCCTCCATTAGACTATTCAGTTATGCTTCCTTCTCAAGTAAGAAACTGAGATCGAAGCAACACCCAAGTTTCTCCATGGATGGCCAATTATCAATGCCAACTTTTTCGAATGTTCCAGTTACTAGTATTGCAGGCACGCAGGTAGTCAGGCGTGATGATTTTAGTTTCCCCAAATCATCGTTTCACCTCGAACAAATTCCATTAGAAGTCTTTATGTGTTATTTCCAACCATCATTTAATCACGATGCCTCAACATCCACTAATGACTCTAATAGCCCGATATTACAAAAGGAGAGCAGCAGTGAGAATGTTTCAGGCTTGATATTAGAGAAACTGGATCATGCGAAGCCGAAAGCGTTGGTGCTTTTTGGCCAAACAATGGTTCATGCGAAGCCAAAAGTATTGGTGCTTTTTGGCCAAAAAATACAAATTGAGTCGAGAAATGAAAATGCTGAGGAGAAAATAACTAATTATTCTTCTGATTCTCCTCTACAAGACTCCTCTAGTGAGAGGCTGGAGTGTGATCTAAGGAACCAAATAAAAAAAGATACTTTGGCAGGAGAAACAATGGAGATCGAAGATTCAGGTAAGGATCATAAATGAATAAAATTTAGTATCTTTTATGTATTGCAAAAACTGATTCATCTCTTAGAAATAGATATATATGAATAATACTTTTGATGTTGTTTCAGTGAGTTCCTCAAAAGAGGCAGCGTGACAGTAGTATCAGCGATGGAAGGAAGAATTACTAGAGCCATAATTTTCTATAAACATGATTTAGTTCAATTATAAGAAGTTGTCTATGTATTCTAACACTTCCA